ACACACACACACACACACACACACACACACACACACACACACACACACACACACACACACACACACACACACACACACACACACACACACACACAAGTCGGCCCCTCTCAATCGTTTACTACGTGCTTAAAATGACATTGTTACATGAACAGAAGTGCGGCGTGGATCTCGCCCGGTCAAGCAGAGTCGTGCTCGCACTGAAGCGGGCAGGACAAAGGCCTTGACGATGCTTCCAGGAAGGGGGCTATGCAGTCATGCGGGTGGTTGAACGCGATAAACGGGGAAGGCGGACCGTCGTCATTTCCAGGGGTTGGGAGGAAGGAATCTTGGTCTCCCAGAAGCGTTCAAAGAGAGCCAAGGTGGAGGCGATGCAGGGGTTTTGCAGGCGGTCGGTGCCAGTTAAAACAACAAAGCTCGAGTCAAGCTCCAGGTTTTGTTCAACGGCAAAGGGCCAAGTGCCGGTGAGCATGACCATCTCATCGACCACGACGACGTTGTGGTGAAAGGGCATGTGGCGGGCGGTAATGTGGGAGGTGGTACGTCGGCCTCGCTGGCCAAAATGCTGCACAGGGTTGTTCTTCCAGCGGCGATACACACGCTGCCACTCACTGCGCGCCACCGAGTCTGAGGCCGTCTGCAAGACACCGTGAAGCCAGGCGCTATCATACAAGACGCGGACTTGAACGCCCCGCTTGGCCGCAGCAGCCAGAGCTTCGGCCAGCAAAACGTTGGTAAAGCTGTGGGTCATGACGACAATCGAGTCGTGGGCCGCCTCGATCACGGCTGCCAAAAAGGCAAAGGGGTCCTGGTGGACGGGATCTGGGCTGGCCGCCGATACGGGGAAAAAGTCTGCTTTGGCAAAGGTGACATATTGGCTGGTGGTTTCTCGGGCCACAACCTCGGCTTCCTCGAGGCCATGCTCGAGATCTTGGACGGCGGCGTCCTTGTGCTTGAGTTCAGCAGCCATCTGGCGCACCTGCAGCGAGCGCTTTTCGACCTGCTGTTGCAAATCGGCCACCTCGTCCTGCAGGCGGGCGATTTCCTGGTGCAAGCTCTGCTGCTCTGAATGCCATTGGCCGGCGGCCGCGATGCGTGAATGCACGCGCCGTTTCTGCAGGCTGACGTCCGTCTCCAGCGTGCGAATGGTATCCCGAAGCAGCTCCTCATCACTGCTGGTGATGGCGCGTTGCTTTCGCAGCCGCTCCACCAGTTTGGCCATCTTCTGCGAGCGCAGCTCACTCATCGCACCGATTGTTCGTGCCGTGCGTCTGCACACGCCCCTCCCCGCCTTCTCAACCAATACCTAAACGACGGGCGTCACACCAAACACGCACACACACACAGAGGGGTTAGGGGGTTACTCTGCCTTTTTCAAGTATCCTCTCGAGCCCAGGGCGTACTCACCGCGTCCCCATCCAGGCCACGGGCAATCCCCGGA